TTTCTCTCTGCAGAGGCCATGGGTACTGTATACGTAAGTACTTCTCTCCAACTAGGCTGTAAAGGAAGGGTCCGTGGGAAGTAGAAACCTTTCCAGAAAGCCAATAGCGCCCCCTAAGGGTCATAGAACGCAAGCGCTACCCCCCACTCGTCCGGAAAGACGCTGCTATCTTTGATTGAAGCATAAAAAGAAAGAGAATGATCCTTCATATAAGCAACTAGCACCCTGATTACAAGTGTTCTAATGCACACCTGCTAACGTTGGTAAAAGATGTGAACGCCACCGTGGCCACTGCCATCCCCCAGTGACCTCAATTCTTCCTAAATTCAACAGCTTTAGTCAGTTGTGTACCCTAATGTGAATATTCTATACTTACACGCATACATATTCTTTTCACTTTTACTTTTGTAACTTTCAATATTCACCTCTGTACTTTCTAGCTGAAATAAAATCTTCTGAGAGTATATGCTTATGTATAACCCAAGAAACCCTAAATTCCATAGCAATAATGAAAAGGAGTCCACTCCCTAACCAGCCTAGGGCAACCGGGTCTCACCTACAGCATTTGCTTCTAGGCTTTCTCGCTCACTCGTCAAGGTGAGCAAAATCACGATCCCCAAAGATGCCCTAGCCCTATTCTGCAAAGCAGAAGAATATGGACACTTCCAAAAGCCAAAAAGGTAGAAATAAATTGCCTCCCTAGGACCTGCAGAAGGAACACAGCCTTTGACTCTAATCCAGGGAGGACCATTCTAGACTTTTGACCTCCAAAGATAAAAGACAATAATAAATTTGTCTTGATTTAAACTGTTAAGTTTGTGTTCTCTCATTATAGCAGAAACAGGAAATGGATACACCCTTCCAACCTACTCTTCTCCTCTGTCCTCAGAGAATGGATCATCACAACTTAATTATGGATATGAATGATCTTGGGAGAACACATTGATGATGCTCTGAACTGTCTGGTGGTGACTTTCTGGATAAGTCCTATTCCAGTCTCTAATTCCACAATAATGAATTCCATGCTCAAGTAATAGGTAAAACAGATCTTCCAACTGCTGGCCTCCAGTGAATGAGATTTTTGAAAAGGGGTGCATTCACCACTAGCTCCCAAAGAGGATAGAGTAGAGGGGGAAACGCAGCAGAGCTAGAAGCAGGTTGGATCACTGCAAAGATTCTAAAGAATTCTATAGATGAAATGAATCTCCATTTCTTGGGCCTATCCACAAGTGAAGACTAGCCCAGATCACCAGGTGATCAATGATGCTGAGACTTAAACTCGGCTTTTTTTATTTTAACCTAATTCCCACTGAATATACCAGTAGCTCTTGTACTTTTTGGCCTCTGGATTCCTGTCTGCTCTTAAATTTATAAAGGCCCCCACAGGGGTGATGCTTGCAGCATTTTTATCTCTCCTTATCTACTGTGACAGAAATTAGTTTAGATCAGTGATTGGAGCACTTGCTTCACATGCATGAGGACCTGAGTTCAATCTCCAGCACTGCAAAAGAATTAAAAACTAAAAGAAAATGTGTATTTTAATTCATTTTTAAAATAATAAGCCCTTGGATGTTGACATAAAAGCATTTGTATGAAAAATAATTATATTTTCCAAAACAGAAAAATAGGGAGAATAATGCTATTTTTACATCTAGGCAAATCACTTTAACAGAAAATAGCTGGATGTCTGATCTGTGTATGCATTCAGTCTACTACAATAGACTGAATTTGTCTATTGTAATATTGAATTTGTCTATTGCAACATTGTTTTGATCAAAGAACATCTATCCTTACTCAGATACGCCACTGAAAAAGTATTTCAACAATCTTTTCAGATGTTTGGAAACTCTGATCCTACACCAAAATTCATCAAGAACAAGGTTATTAAAGATTAAGAGTTTAAAAAAAAAGATTAAGTGTGGAACCTAAAATCAAGTAGAGCACTTTCCACATTTTGCTACACTGGAAGTCCACTGCGGTAGGACTAAGGGTATAGCACAGTAAAGGCTCTGGGTTTGATGTCCAGCCCTGAAGAGAAAAGTCTATCGGGCTGTCCCGCCCTTTGGACTTCGAATGGATCTTTCAGCCATGTAAGATTTTGTAACTCTATACCCAGCCCATTTGGATTTATTGGTTCACTTAGTTACCCAAGTCATCCAAGTGTTGACATGTTTCACAGACATGGTATATTAGAATTGTGTTAATTTATATCACCATTAATGTCATTCAAAAATTTTCTAACTATCAGGATGCTCTCAGGACTATGATAGAAGCAACACACCAAAATTCAAATTTTCACTTGCAAAGCTCACATTTAATAATCAGCAAGAAATCCCAGAAGTTATTTTACTGGACGGAGTGGGATCCCTTTTCTTCATTTTTGAAAAGATGTCTGCTAAATGCCCAAGTCATTAACTGTATTAGTCTTTTTGATAAATATGGCATTCCATATAAAAAGCAGCAAATTCAATTCACAGCTCTGCCACACAAGTGCTTTTCTTTGGAGTTATGACTGAACTGTATGTCGTGAACAAAACTGCTTTATGAGTCCTTCCCATATCTCCACCCAGAATATTTAAAAAGATATGGATTCGAGCATAGAGATGTGGCAGCATTAATAATCTTAATGTATTCTTAAGTGAAACTTTGTATCTTTTTAACTGTATGACATCTAGTATAGCACAATATCTCTGCATTGAGACACAGTTGGCCATCAGCAGTTTTGCCCACTGAGCTTTTGCACCTTTAGTGTAAATATCAACACAGAGGGAAAGGTAAATAGCATTCCACTGTTACTTTAAAATAACTTTGACCCTGGATTCTCTGAGTCTTTAAACTTTAAAAAAAAAATTACCCAACACTACCCCCAGATACCCACTGTAAATGCATATGTGAATCCACATGTTTCAGGAAACTATATCAAACTGGCAAGTGCCATCATAATTTTAATGTTTTGCATGTCCACTGTGGCAGTAAAGAATATGGTGGGATGGGGGAGCTGACCTTCTTTGCTTATTTTGCTGTGTATTTTAGTTGACCTTAAATAAGGGGCTTATTTAGCTCGTCATTGTGCCCTGTAAATAACTTCTACTATAAGGATGGTTCCTCTGGAGCTATAGTGGGCTACACTATTAATGTGGCTCTGGGTAATTTCCTCACAGAGATTCTGGCCCCAAAGGGGGAGGGTTAGGGCTGGCACAAGCAGCTTGCTGAATCCATACATTAATTCAGCCAGCAAGAAGGAAGAGTGTGCCCACAGCCTTGCCACCAGACCTATACCACAAGTTTACAGCAGAAACGGCGGCAGCAAGAGAGACAGGGCGTCTCCCCGCTGAGCCGATGAAGCAATGTGCCCCTGATCGCCTCACCGCGAGGAGGAGCTGGGCCTAGGTCGCTGTATCTGTTCTTTCCTTCTGTTCATTTAAATGTGGTAAAAGCCCTTTTGTAAAATGTGCTTTGTCCTCATTTGTCCATTTCAAGTCTGGCCACCAGTGTACTGCAATCCCACATCAACACAGTAGAGAGAAGTGCCAAGGCGCGTTCCAGCTCTCGCATTCCAGCTCTCAGTGATTTACAGAGCAGAAGGCAAAAGAAGGAGCGGCTCACCACACCACAGGATTCTGGAGCCTCACAAACAACCCTGACTTCAGCGGTGCTCAAAAGTAACCCATCGGACGGGGAGCAGGAGAATTCAAAAGGAATAAGGCTAGGAGCACCTGGTCCCAGAGTTTTCTCACACAAAAACTCTTTAAGCATTCTAAAAATTTTAACGCAAGGAAACAAAAGCCATCGGATGTAGGTGGGGACGTTGGAAGATTCTAAAACAGTTTGATTCTGTCAAGCACTTACAAAGTATGCAGGGAGTGCTTTCTAGAGATCGCTAACAGGAGAAAGACTATTACAGCTTATGCGACCTTTTCACGAAAAAGTGGAATTTGGCAGTAGAAAACCTGAGCCAAGCAATACGTATATAGCTACCAAAAGTCACTAAGCAAGTTTTCTTCCTTAATCTTTGAAGTAGCTAACTGGCATCATAAACCCACTAGCATCATAAAACAAGTAGAAGCCCTCTTTGGAACAGTTTCTGAATTTTTATAACCCAGTTGGGAGCCTATTGCACCAACAAAACCATCATACTTCTTAGATTGCTATAAAAACTGATGATGTAAATAAAAACCACACAGCTTGAAGCGTGGAAATGGATGCACAAGAGGTGGAAACGAGAGGCACCAACGACTTGGGGACGAAAATCCCGGCGCAAGCTTTCTCTGGGTGAAACCTCAGAGCACGCTGGCACCTTCTGAAAGCACTGCCCCCAAAGACAGGCTCCATTCTGGCTCCGGTCTTGGCTTCGGGAAGGGTGAGGTTCTCTGCAACCCACTTGGTTCTCCATCCTCTCAAGACAAACAGATGTCCTCGCCCGATTCCCGGATGGCCGCCCTGGGCGTGCGGGGCTCCAGCGGCCCGCAGCGCGCGGCGCGCTCCAGTAAGAGCAAGGCTGGTGCTAGAGCGCAGAGGCTTCGGAGCCCTGTCCTTGCCTTCCCTGGTCCGCTGCGGTCCCCTCCAACAGCCACCCCTCCTCTAGACAGGTGAAGGCGAGGAACAAGGATGCTCACCTTCCTCTCCCCCCACCCCCAGGAAATTCTGGGCAGAGAAAGGCAGCTCCACCCGCACCCCCTGTGCAACGCCCAGAGCCGCTTTTCTTGTCTTTCTTTTCCCTTGCCTCACTCTCCCCGGGCATTCGGAGGGCTCAGGTCCCCGACGCCAGGGCGTTGGACAGCACAATTAAACACCCACGTCCCCTGGCCCCCACGGTGTCCCCACTGACCCTCCCGAGAGTAGTGTGCCCAGTTCCCAGGCTCAGCGCGCGGCCCCAAGCCGTGAGGACGCACAGGTTAGTGACACGACACGAAACCAGGACAGACGGGCGACGGGACCCCAGAGCGACAGGCGGGACTGACAGAGCAGCAGTGAGGGGAGCGCGCGGGCGCTGCTCGTACCTGGGTCCCCCGCCGCGGCGGCGCGGGGGAGCAGCAAGGCCAGGAGCAGCAGCGCCACGCAGGGCAGCGGGCGCGGAGCGCGTGGGGGCGCCCTGGCGTCGGGGGCCATCGGGAGCCTGCGGCGCGCGGGGACTGGGCGCAGACGGCAGGCAGAGTCTGGCCGGACTTGCGGGAGCGCAGAGGTACCGCCACCGGGTGCCCTCCGCGGTGTCTGGTCTTCGCGCTCTGCGCAGAGCCCGCTGGCTGCAGCCCCGTGGCGGTTGCTCCTGGCCGCGCGGCCGCCGCGCTCCGCCAGTGTGGCCGCAGCAGCTCGTCGCGCCTTTTGGCCAGCTCGGGCGCCCCCTGCCGGCGCGAGGCTTGCGGGCGGGGCAAGGGGCTGAGGGTCGCAGGCTTCAGGGAGCAAATTTGGCAGTTCTGAAAACTCAGTGGTTGATGCACCTGGCGCAGTGGCCAGGGAAGCGCCTCTCGAGCTTCCTAGCTTGGGGATGTGTCATTGTATGAAAAAGCTGCCAAGCCCAGGGGGACACTTAGCCCCCCAATATCCATACTTCTGCTTTCAACATCAGGAACCGGGACTGGGAGGGGCTCCTTTACCTGGATCTGCATATGTCAGCCCTTCCAGCCGCTACCGCCCTCCTCTTGCCCCCAACGCTGGCAGAAAAGGAGTGTCTTTAAACGACTTTAGTCACTATCCAAGCTTGGGGTCTCGAAAGACAGAAGGATGAGGTCACAAATCAAAAGGAGAAAGTTAGGAGGGTTTTATTGAAAATAAGAATAGTTCCTGGATTTCCAGAAGGGGCCTGGAATGCGTGGCCGCTTGCCTTCTTCATCTTGAGCTATTTATAGAGAAGTCGAGCACAGGGACTGCTCAAGTGTCTGGTGGCCACCTATCACGGGTTTGAAGTGGCCAGTTGGAACTAGGGCTCTGTGAACCAGTTCCTTAGCAGGTTAGGGTTTAAAAGAAATTGAGCTATTAGAAAAAATTGGTTGTTTTGCCTTTTAAATTCTTCAAACTTTGGGAGCTTAGCAGAGAGAGACTGCAGCTCCCTCTATTGGGCAGCGCTGCTACTCTTGCAACAAAGTCCCACTTTCCAGCTCCAGGCTCTCTTCCCTTAAGGACCAAGTCCCTTTCCTGCAACTAGGTCATTAAATGAATTGGTCACTAAGTAAGGAATTGGATGTAGCATGTACAAGATTTAGAACAAAGGGCCAGCACGACAGCTCAGTAGACTAAGTGCATGCCTAGGCAAGTTCAGGGACTAGGGTTCGACGCTAGGCACCACATGCCATGCCAGCCACGCCCCCCAGGCAAGCTGAGTCAGCCACCAAGACACCGCATGGTGGTGCACGCCGGTAATTCCAGTGCTGGGGAGGCTAAAAACAAGAGAACCACTGTGAGTTCGAGCTGCCTAGTGAGACCCTGTACCAAATACATTTTTTTTTAAAAAAAGATACAGAACAAGGGGTCAGGGAGACAGCTCAGTTGAATAAGTGCCTGCCTGGCAAGCACAAAGTCCTGAGTTCAATCCCTGGTGCCACCAAAAGAAAGAAAAAAAAAAAGATTCAGAACAAAAAATGGCCAAAGGAAACTTCAACTTGATGATTTTGCTTATATTTGCATAACTTACATGAAGTACTTTAATGTATAACAGAACATAAAACAACGGTATTGTGCAATATAAGTAGCAAAAATTACAGTACTGAATAGACAAGGTGTACTGTACCAAAACAGGCATTAGAACTCTATCAACACAATGTATGGAGCTGCATTTTTTTTAAAGACATGTCCTTAGGTCCAAGTGGCAGATCTTCAGTGTGAATAGCACACCTCCATAGTAATTCTGAACAGTCATTAGACAAGTGGGTTCTTAAATGAGGATGATCAGTATCGGACAAAATATTGTCAAAATAGTTTAGTGAAAATGGTTTGTTTTTCTTAAGAACATATGCCATCCAATAACCTTCAAAATGAAATACAGCAGCCACCAACACATCATCACATCAGCTGGAGGTAGGCAATACTGATCCTCCACATGTCAGAAAAGATAGGGATGAAAACTATTCAGAAAATTCAGTATGTCTTCTGATATAGAAAGTGCTCATCAATAATCATAATTGAAAAACAGATGCAATCCAGGTATAATCTCTAGTAAATCATTAACGTGTCTGTTCCTTTATTTCCCCAGTGCTCTTTCCTGACATTGAAGCAGCTTCCATGAATTCTTCGAGGTAATATCAATCCACAGTAAATACTGCTGGAAGCTGTCTTGAATGTACAACTTTGTCTCATTAATGAAGGAGGTCATTGCAAGGGACCAATGGAGCTAAAATATTAGTAAGATATCACAAAACCATGAATCTGCTTGACTAAAAAAAATAGCTGAAAATACCCAATACTCTTGAGACTGAAACTGAGGCTACGGATGCCACTGCTCTGTCGGCCTTTACAGTAAATGTCTTGGAGAATAGAAGGACATACAAAGTCTTTAACAAAGAAGCTTTCTAGGGAGGCGTATAAGGCAAAAGTTAAATACATAATCACAGAGCCAAGAATAACCGTGATAATTAATTGTTCAGTTGTTTCCCATGATTCAGAAGCATATGCATAACCCTTGGAAAAATAAGTGCACCCATAGGATGCGTAACATTTCTGCATATCAAAAAGTTTTAAAGGTGACATCACTTCTAAGGAAATTGTTTATATCAGAAAATTTATTTAACTCCAAATGAATCATTTTTATTATCACCTGAGGAACTGTTGGAAGCAAATAGTCCTTTGAAGTCAGCCCAATCATAAGTGCACTTATGTAAGATTTTCTGGTTGTTTGGCCCATGTCACACGTGATCAACAGGTCTCCCAAGACCATGCTCCACGTTGCTCTCTGCTGCATCAAAACAGGAAAGTCATATGGGGTTGTTTTAGGGGGAAGCAGGGGGATATTGAGACAGTAAAGATCAGGAAGCATATTTTCCCCAGACAGTGTATGTATCAAACATTACCGAAACAATATGTGTTTTGAAGACATGGTTCTTTTCATGAATGCTGTTGATTTGTACAACACACTTAAGGAATGAACCTAAAATACAATAAGCTACAAAACTCTTCGCCTAATGATTGAGTTCCATTCCCGAAACCACATCATTAAATGAATCGATTGCTAAATGAGCAATTGTATATGGTGTGTACCTTACATGATTCAAAACAAAGAAATGGTCTCAAAGGAACTTGATGACTTTGCTTTCATTTACATAATTCATACACACAGAACTGTAATGTGTAAGAGAACATTAAACTATAGTACTGTGCAGTACAACCATCCAAAATTATAGTACCACATAGGCCGCCGGGGTTTTTGTTTGTTTGTTTGTTTGTTTTTTGTTTGCTTGTTTGTTTGTTTTGGCGGAACCGGGGATTGAACTCAGGCCCTTGCGCTTGCCAGGGAAGCACTTATTCCACTAGCCATCTCCCTGGCCCCTTATAGTACTGCATAAACAAGGCTTACTGCACAGAAAAAGACATTGAAGCTGTAGCAATAAGATGTACAAAAGTATATAAAAAGGAAGTCTGAACAGTCATTAAACAGATAGGTCCTTAAATGAGGAACACCTGTACTCTTACTTCTTATCACTACAGCTGATCATCCAGCTCTATCTCAGGCCCTTTCATAGTTAGCAGCCTTATTAATGAAGTAACTAAATAACTTATCAGTTTGCACTTAGAACTGCTACTCCTGTTGGCCATTTCTGGGGAGCACATGATATGAGTCACAAAGGATATAGTCTTTAACCATACCATATAATGTAGGCCAAATACAAAACTGGCCTTGTTTCCTCCCATTTCTGCAATTAAACACTGCTGTGGGGTCTCTAATTCTAGCCTGGCAAATTCACTGCCTGCAATTCTGCTATTCCTCCTGTAGTAGGAAAACCCACTTCCTCTCATACCTCATGGGGCTAAAACTCCCAGCCCAATGTGAAATAAGCTCTGCATCTTGACAACCCCAAACTCAGTCAGATTTGTGTCATTCTGAAGAAAAGACAGAGTTGGTTAAATGAATTGTAGACTGATTAAAAACAGCATATAATTTCTTTTCTGAACCTAAACAACAAAAACAAGACATTGATGTGTTAATCCCTCACCAGCACCTCTTGCCTAATAGGAGCATCTAGGAAAGCATAAACCTACCACCTAACTTTTGGGGAGACTTTCTCCTGGTTCCCGATGGAACTGAAACACGGTGCCCCAAAGATGCCCCTGCCCTCATCTCTGAAGCCTGTGGATGCTATCTAATAGAAGAGTCCTGATTAAATTAAGCACTTGGAAATGAAAGATTACCCTGAGTTATCTGGGTGGGCACTGAATACAGCCACATATATACTTATAAGGAGGAAGAAAGATTTGGTGCATATATTTTTAAAAAGACAATTGACCATAAACATGGGAGTGACATTGTCATAATTTATACAAAGGGGTGCTGGCAGGCACCAGAGCTGAAAGAAGCAAAGAACTACTCTCCTCCAGACCTTGTGAGGGCTACATAGCCCTGTTACACCTTGATTTCGGTCCAGTGGAACTCACTTTTGGTTTTCTGCCCTCCAGAAATATGAAACAATAAAATTCCATTTCCTTAGCCACCAAATTTGTGGTGTATTGTTACAGCAGCCACAGGAGACTCATACAGCTAAAGGAGATGAAAGGAGCTTGGGGCTCTGACTCCAGCCTCAGGGAACATCAAAGAGAGAATGACACCATTCATGAAGAAGCCACGCAAGATGGAGAAAGAATCCTGGGCTCCAGGACACCGGTCCATAAAGAGATGGCAAATAAGTTTTTATCATCCAGGTGAGGCCAACTTGGTCTGGGACCAGAAGAAGAGCAGTGAAAGTGTAAGAGCTTGGGAGATTCTGAAGGTATTTGAAGGGGTGGCTGAGTGATTTTCTGTATTCGATGTGGGGGAAAGGGGCACTGGATTGATGCAAAGTCACACTCTTCTTACTCTAGTCATTAACTCTCCATTAGGGCTTTTGTCATTTGAAGATTTCACTCTTCCATGTAGATTTAACAAAATATCCCATAGTGTAGTCTATAGAAGCCCATCAAAGAGTAGATCTTCTACTTCCACATGACATCCACTTGCATTTATCTCCCTCCCTTCAATGTTACTCATTGGAACAGCTTTCTTACATAGATATTTCAAAATGAAGCACCATGCAGAATTACTTCCAAATTTAGAGTTTCAATGGCCAGAGAAAAACAACCAACCCTGGACTATT